CATCTCCTTAATATTTGATAACTCAGAATAGGCCAGGTTTTAAGGGACTTTAGGTGGGCAGACAAATGAAATACAAAGAACTCTTCCAAAATTAATTCCATTATTTACTAGCCTCTAGTAGATCTGAGTGATTAGATAATTCAAAGACTAACCATGATACTAAAAGATAAATCTCCAGAAATAAAAAGCAACTTAGCTTTAACATTCCATGAGTGCTATAATTATTAGATGTAAATATCATTCCACTCAACAAACATTAATTAGGCATTTACTAGGTTCACAGTGTTATTATAAGAGCTTGGGAAGATACAAAAATAAATAAATATCCCTTATCGACCTTATGTGGGGGGGAGGGTCAGGACGATACAATATACTGCATACTCAAAAGGCTAGAATGCAAAATAAAACATCAATACATAAGAGGTCAAAGTTCTATCTGAAATTTAAAGAAGTAGAGATCACTTCTGATTAGGGAGGGAGGTAAAATTTAGGGGAGATTTGGGTATTCTAAGCATACAAAACTATGTGAACAAAAAAGCATTCGGAGAAAAATGTTTAATTACTTTAAACAGTACAAGAATGTCATAGGATTCATCCAGTTTGACTGGTGTGCAGTGAGTACAAAACTGAGAAGTCCTCTCAGATAAAGCTGGAAAGGTGGAACAGATGGTGGAAGACCTTGAATGACAGACTAAACATGGATTTTATTCATTAACTTGTGAAAGGTGTAGACCAGAAGCCTGACAAGATCAGACCTGTATAAGGACAATTAATATGATCACAGAATTACAGTGCTTTCCCTATTCACTTTCTTCATTATCTAACCTGGCTTAGCTGCTCTCCAAGTTAAAAACAGAAGCTGTTAATCCTGCTAAACTAGGCTTCTAGTCCTAAGCTTGTGAAATAAAAACTATTAGGCAACATCCGGGTAATTTTCAAAGAAAAAGTTTTTGCACTTTTAAAATACATCCTCCCTCATACATATTCAATTAAAGGAGTAAGAACTAGACATGTGATTTTATTGGTACAGGTAACCCTGTTTGCAGGTTGGCACCTTATCTTTAACATATATGACAGAATCAGGACTTGAACCCGGTTCTTCCAGGCTTTAAGGTCAGCACCGTAGCCACTAAGCCATAGCAACCTGTCAATTCGGAAAACTAAGAAGAAAGCCTTATATTGTTAGCTGTACTAATTTAGACAAACAAAAAGGCATAGTTAGCCTAGATGTGAAGGGGGAGATGTGAAGCAGGAAGACTAACTAGGAGGCCATTCCAGTAATGTAGGCGAGAGGCGCCTGAATCAATAGTGGCTGTGTCAGTAAAGAAAAAAGGCCAGACGTAAAAGATTTTGTGAAGGCAGAAATGGCAAGATGGGATAACTTATTGCTTATGTGGGGTCAGGAGCCGAGGATTAGGTTGCGATTACAAGTCTGGCAGACTAGAAAACGGTGGTGCCTTCACAGAAAAAGAGAAGTTCGGAAGAGGTGTGGGTGTAGGGAGAAACAGGGGGTGTCCCAGAAGTCTGAGAGCAGTTTTAATCTTTGATAACTTAAAGCTGCCCTGACTTTTAGAACGTTCTGTATGTATAACGACTGCTCTCATGGACAGGTGAAGTTTGAGGTGTCTCCAAGATCTCCACTTTGAAATGTCCGACAGGTGACGTGAGACCGAAGCTCAGGGCAGTCTCGGCTCGGACATACAGACCATCAAAGCACGGGAGCGAACATCCAAGGACTGACACACACCCCCCACACACACACATCTCTGCTCCAACACTCCCACCCTCCCATACCGAGCTTGGTCATCTCTTCCAGTCTCAGGGCTTTCTCCTCCTTCCCCATTCCCCATTTCTCTCCTGGACACCTGGCGAATTCTACCTGACATCACATGCCTTGGTGTGCAAACGCTACGGGGAAGGGGCCGTGGTCGTGCCGAGCTCTGCACCCTCCCAGCGCGCCTTAGCCCGGTCTTGGGGTCATACGTGACCCACTTCGGCCGTCGCCCCGGGAAGCCAGGCCCAGCTCCCCGACCTCGCGCTGGGGCCACGCCGCCTTCCAGAAGACAGCGGGGCCTGGCCTCGCGGGATTAGGGCTGGGGCCAGCCGGGCCGGAAGCGGCCAAACGTGGGGCTAGGGTGCAGCTCGCAAAGGGAAGGTCAAGGCGGGGAGGAATGGCCGGCCGAGGCCCCTGCCTGTCAGTCGGCCCGTCTCCCTCCAACCCTCCCTCGCCGCCGCCCAAACGCCCCCGCACCAGTGCGGCACCGGTGCAGGGGGAGAGGGGGGTGAGAACCCGGACCGCTCTTACCCGCTCCGGACCCGCTCCTCCCCGGTGCCCACGGCCACTCCCGCACCGTGCGCTGAACCCCTTCGCCGGCCCGCAGCGGACAAGAAGAGGCGAGATTGACAGGAGGCCCGGAGAGCGAATGTCGAGAGATCGGCGTGCTCTGCGTCCCCACCTCCCGGCTGGCTTTACCTACTCTCGCGAGATCTCCGCCCCATGCCGGAGAGAAAGTCTCGACTGCCCTCTACAGGCGGAATGACAGGTCGTGTCCGGGGCGGAGCTCCTTGCCCTTGACTCCCTGGCACGTATCAAATTCACCCAGCCAGAGCGATGCAGCGGCAGCTCGGGCTCCCTCGCCTGCGCCCCATGCAGCATGATGTCTACACCATTGGAGTATATGGGGGGCTCAGGAAGGACTAGCACCTGTGGTGGGAGGGCTTGCTCCGCAACAACCTTTGGTGTCCACCAAACTCTCACCTCTCACGTGTGGCTCCAGGAAGCCCTGGCAAGCTTGGCAGCCACATTCCAGTAAAAACAATGGGCTAAACCAGGTTGAGGGTAACAGGCAGGCCTCCAGCCCCTTGGCCAGGTAGGGGCATGTCCACTCCAAGCACACAAAGACCTCCCCGGAAGGAATGGGCAGATGAAAAGGATGAAGGTGGCTAGGGAACCCAGAGAGCGTGGTCAGACATGGAAGACGCCAAGGTCACCCACTGCATGCGGGCCATCGCTGGTCATGCTGACTTTTGTCTTGCCACTGGACTTTATTGACTGTGGAAGAGAGAGTGAAGCTGATGACTGCCTCACTTAAATTGAATTCGCAAAAAAAGGGTCAAGACATCTCCTTGTAATGTCTCTGGTCCTCTTCAAAATGAAGCCCAATCAACAGTGCACCATTAGCCATTTAGGAAAGCAAGATGCAAATGCTGCCGAAGGGCGTGTGTGTGTGTGTGTGTGTGTGTGTGTGTGTGTGTGTGTGTGTACGCAAAGGCAGGACTCAAATTCATTTCACATTTAAGGAAACTGAGGCAGGGAGAAGAAAGCTCATGCAGGGTGTAAACCAGAATCCTGGGAAAATGTGTTGAAATACTATTTTCTATACAAGCCCACCTGCTTGTAGTGAGAAAAATGCTACAGTTCTAGTACCAACCTTGCCACTTGTTCCTTTGGACAAGTGAGGAATTCCAGGCGCTTCCAGTCTGTATTGCCTGCACAGCAGAAGATGGGTAACTAGGGGTTCATCTGAGGTACAGAGGTGCAGTGGAAAGAAGGCTGGGCTCCAGGACCACTTCAAATCCAGGTTTTACACCCAACACCACCTATGTAATATTGGGCTAGTCATGTAAACGCTCTGGGCTTCAGTATCATCTATAAAATGAGAGGGCAGAAATAGGCTTGATGACCTCTGTTGAGATATTAGGACACACCCTGTCTTCCAGAGCCAAGGCCCAGCAAGCAAGCTGAGCCCTGAGCTTGGCATACATAGCAACAATCCTTTGCACTCATCTTCTGGAATTGATGGTCCCTGAGCTCAGGTGAGCACCAACAGGCCTAGACACAAGGCCCTGCTATGAACACTACACTGTTTGACTCTTTGTCTAGCCACAAGTATATCAATCAAGGTTCAGCCACACTAAAGTGGGTCCCCCCAACTAGGGGCTGGGCCCTGGCACATCTGTCTAATCTGCCTCCTCCCTTGCAAGCCATTTCCCTCACTTTGAAATTAAACTTCTGCTTGGTTCCTCATCTCCTGTCTCTAATCTCCTCTGTTCATCTCCTGCCATCCACAGGTTAGAGGCCAGTTTGATCTGGTTGATAGCTCTAAAAGCCCTTCTAACTCCAGAGGCTAGATATGCAAAAAATCTCTCAAAATTCCTCCTAGCTATATAAGAAAATGTTTTGTTTCTCTAAAACAAATATACCCCCATTTCTTCCCCATTCCTGGAGATAAGGTGAATAAGATAAGGTATTCCCCGATCAACTAGGATTAGTAAAGAAATCAGGATTGAAAGAAAGAAGGGTGGAGGCTGAGGAGTGAGGAATGAGGGAAAAATAACATGCTTAGCTAAATTCACCATTGCAACATTAGGAAAACTCCTCCCTGGGGTAGGGTTAGATGGCCTTAAAATAGAAGGTACTTCTATGGTTGTAATTCAGTCACATCCGATTCTTCCTGACCCCATTTGAGGTTTTCTTGGCAAAAATATTAGAATGGTTTGCTTTTCCTTCTTCTCCAGCTCATTTTAGAGATGAGGAAACTCAGGAAAATAGGGTGAAGTGACTTGCCCAGGGCCACACAGCTGGTAAGTGTCTGAGGCCGGATGGGGGGATATAAAAATCTAAGCCAGTATTTCAACTGGCGAAGCCATCTCCAAATGCTTTAACTCTAGTCAGCAGGTAAGCTGTAGCTCCATCCATTTCTCCTTCCTCTGCCACCAGCTTTTTTCCAACAACTTTCCTTGATCCCTAGAAGTCATAATCTACAAAAATGTCAGAGACCAGAGCAGAGAGGTAATTGTTCTTACACAAGTTAAGAAAGCTGGAGTTCCATCAGGTACTTGGCATAATAAGATGTTAGAGTTCAGAGAGACCTTCTTTTGTAGATGTGTGAACTGATGCCCAAAACCTGAAATTTAAAGTCATGCTACTAGTTAGTGGAAATGTTGGAGTAAAGATGTGTGGGTTCTAGTGTCCTAAAAGAAATTCATTAGGCTAGTTCTCCAAGTTAAAAGAAAGGCATTTATTGGGGTGATGTATTCCAGCAGGCACTGCTTCCACATAAGAAAGAAAGAACATAGGCGGTGAGCTCTGCTCCCCCAAGGGAGACAGAACAAGTGGCCAGGTTAGCTGTCTGGTCCTAAATACAATTTTACAGAATAGGGGGAAGGGAAACAAGAGAATGGGAGGAAGGACAAGCACAGCTCTAGAATGCCTGGCATATCAGGTAGTCCAGAGGAGCCTTTGTCAGACAGATAAACAAGGAGGACAGGAAAGGGGAGGAGAAGAGTTGTTCTGGAACATCAGGTAATTGGGGGTGCTTTGTAAAAGCACACAGCTAAGTCCATGGTGGGGGGCTTCAATGCATAGTCTTCTTTGATCATTTTTCTGGCTGGTCACATTCTGCGTCTTATCTCGTATCTCACATCCTGCATCCGGCTTGCTCCATCTGCCTAGAGCACTCCTGTCCACCTCACCTCATCAGCAGAACCCAAACTAAAGGTACAGGGCTCCTGATTTCCCATCCACAGGTTGTCTTCCCAAGACACTCCTTTTATATAAAGAGAATTAAGTCAAATTTATAAGAATATGACTCATTCCCCAATTGATAAATGGTCAAGGGATATGAACAGGCAGTTTTCAGATGAAGAAATTAAAGCCATTTATAGTCATACTAAAAAATGCTCTAAATAACTATTGATTAGAGAAATGCAAATCAAGACATTCTTTTTTAGAAGGCATCCTTGTTAAATGTCCAAGCCTAAATGAAACCTTTAAAAAATTAGAACAGAAACAGATCTTGTACTTTTCACAGCTGTGGATAGGACATGTATCCAAAAAATGTGTAGAGGCATTGCAAAAGAAAAAATAAATAATTTTGATTACATAATATTGAAAGGCTCTTCCACAAACAAAATTAAAATCTTGGATAAGAAGTAAAACTGTCAAGTAGGAAAAAAAATCATCTTATTAAGTATTTCTGATAAGACTATGGTATTGTTAACCTTAATTCAAGAGAAAACAGCCAATTAGGAAAATTAAGATCTTCATTAGGGGCAGGTTGGTTACAGGTCAGGGTGCCACACAGCAAGTGCTGGGGTATCTGAGGAAGGGACTGGGAGCAGGGTTATTATAGGGTACAATTGTCAGAATGGCCAAGCTGCAGGTGGGAGGGGGTAGGAGCATCTCAGTTTCTCAAGGTAAATTGTTTTTCATAACAACCAAAAATCCATAGAGAAAGCTTGGGAATCCCTGGAGGGGAGAGTTTTGGACTTTTACAAAGTAATCAGAGGCTAGGAGCATCTGTGTCTGGTCACCTCCTAGTCCACTGTGTTTGTCAGTATCTAAGAGACATAAGTAATAAAACTGCTAAGACCAAAAGCTATTCCCCAAAAGACAAATGGTCAAAGGATATGAACAAACAGTTCTCAAAAAAAAATGGCAGACTATTAAGAACTATATGAAGAATGCTCACCAAAACGATCCTGACGGGGCAGCTAGGTGGTACAGTGGATAGAGCCCTGGAGTCAGGAGGAACTGAGTTCAAATTCAGCCTCAAACCCTCGACACTTACCAGCTATGTGACCCTGGGCAAGTCACTTAACCCCCAATTGCCTCGCAAAAAAAAATAAACTTAAAAATAATAATCCTGAGGTTTCACCTCACACCCAGCAAAATAACAAAGATAACAGATAGGAATAGTAAATGTTGGAGCCATAGTAAAAGGCTAACACACTAATGCTGTGAATTAGTACAATCGTTCCAATCTGGAATTATGCAAATAAAGTGACTCAAAAAGTCCATACCCTTTGAAAATAAGCTATAGATCCTTGGGTGTGTACGCACACACACAAATATACCTTCACTATCCCTCGTTTCTTGTATAATCACCACAGTTAGCATTTCTAGAACATCAAATAATATTGGTGACAATGCATGTTTTTTTGCTTTACCCTTAATCTTATTGGAAACTCTTCTGGCATTTATCCATTACGAATAATTTTAGCTCTTGTTTTCAGAGAGTTACTATTTACAGTATTATTAAATGTGATATTATATAAAGGTACTTTATACCTGAAAGTTGCTACATAAATAAATCTATGTTATTAATATCCTAGGGGCAGCTAGATTGTCTAGTGTATAGAGTGCCAGACCTAGAGTCTGAAAGACCTGAGTTCAAATTGGGCCTCAGACATTTTCCAGCTATATGACCCTAGGCAAGTCACTTAACTTCTGTTAGTCTCAGTTTCCTCCCCTATAAAATAGGAATAATAATAGCATCTACCTCCCAGGATCGTTGTGGAGCTTAGACAGCACAATAATTGTAAGGTGCTTAGTACTGTGCCCGGCACCTGATAAGCACTATATAAATGTTACTATTATTATTTTTATTAAATGTAAGTACTCTATATTGGATTTGAATGTGATCAAAATGTTTGAAAACTTCACTGTTCAATTGGGTATATTTTGCTTTAAAGTGGATAACTTGGGGTGGGAGAGGGGGCAAAGTAGCAAAGACCTCTTTTATCTGTGAAATTTTTAGGACTTTCTATTATGGCAGAGTCCTGAGATCTCATCAGTCCTGCTGACTTCATGTGGTAAAATGCTAAAGTAATGAAATTTAAGAAACTAAGACCACTCCCAGTCAAAGCAGGGAAACTTACAAGTTTGCTTACAGGAAATTATGAGTTTTATCTGATAAATTATTTGGCTATCACTTAGGAAAATTATGAAATGTTACCTGTTAATAAATAGTATGTATTGAAGCCACATCTTGGAGCCAACTTAGTAACAATAGACCCTAGATCCAAAGATTTAATTTTTGGTTTAGGAGTTAGTAGGCAATCCAGAATTGTAGGCTTACTGTAGTCAGAATTTTTCCAGGGTTTTGAGTCAACTATCAGGTATTCATTGTATAAGCGAAACTCTAAAATGTGGTTATTCTTAATTTATAAATGAGGGATAAATAAGACGTTCTTATCAGCACTCATTGTTAACTGTTACTGCAGTAACATGAGAAAAGTAACAATAACCTAACCATAAGCTGTGATTAGTTTTGATATCTGGAGTTGTGTTTGTCCTTCATTCTCGAAGAGGAGCTTGACATCAGGGAGTTGATGACATGACTTGCAGTTGACTTTGATTTAAGTGAGGGAGGGCTATGTAAAGTCACCAGCTCACTTTCTCCTCTAGAGCCATCTGGGTCCAGTGGTGAGGTATAGATCAGTACGACCGGAACAGGCCTCTAATGTTTGGGGCAAAATCTCTTGGGATTGTAATTTGATATTGTTCTGAGTTTTTAATATCAGGTATGATCGTCTGAATTGTCATTAAGCCAATAGTCCACCATTCAAGGGAATATCATGTGCTGCCCAAAGGAATTGTGGAAAGTAAAAATTTTCAAGAATCAGAGTTTATGGATAGATTATAATCAACTTTATCAACCACTGCTAACAAAAAGGCTCAGTGACCAGAGAGGCTTAACCTGTGAAACCTTCAATCCTTATAAAGTCTTTGGAGAAGGGTGAGGGTGGAAATCTACTCTGATTGGTTAACAAATAATGAAAAGAATGAATATTATAATAAAAGGTAGGCTTATTCTGATGAGGGGCTAGGGGGGTGGGTGACTGGGATCACTCGGTTTTGGTTAAAGAGAATTATCTGTGTCCGTATCACTTGCCTGACAAAAGGGAGAATCCTCATTTTCCCAAACCTGGCTGAGTAACACACAATGGGCAGGAATCCATCAGTTCACATAGCTTTATCTTTTGAATGGGGCTGAGTTCTTCCTCTCAGTAACAGCCCTGCGCTTCATAGGCTGCCTGAATAATTTACAGGGACTGACTTCTGAACGAGGAAGTAGAAAAGGGGAAAAGCCTTATTCCTAATTCAGTAATTAGTTATTAAATACATGAGAGAAATAATGATTTCTCTAGAGTACAGTCTGAGGACTGCTACTGGTGGACATCTGTGCCTGGGAAAATTGAGGGGACAACCTTGCTTGGACAAAGATAAGATGCTCTTAACTCATTTTCCCCATTGTGCTTTTTTCCTTTCTGAATGGGAAAATTTCCTACCTGATTAATTCTGAACTAGATATGATACACTGTAAACAATGTGGAACTTTGAAGCATTATTGACTAATAACTATGATTCTTACCTCAAATTAAGCAGAGATAAGGGAGTTTTTCCCCTATTATGGCTTCTGTAAGATCATTCTGTGCCCTTGAAAGTACAGTCTTGATATTGTCATAACCTCCTTTTTCCTTTCATAGCAAATTTCTGTGATCAAGGTAGGTGAAAAGTAGAAGTCGTTGCCATTAAAATACTAAATCTATTAACTAACAGATTAATACTAATATATCAGAGTTACTACAATAGGATGAAAGTATGAAAAATCTTGTTATTTTTAATCTGAATTTGTGGTCAATTCGATACCTTAATTCAGTAGATGCTTAGGCTTGTCATATACTTGCTAATAATTATATATGCACATATAAGAGTAGGTCTTTATCTATTCTTCCAGGATGATATGAGAAACATATGAACAAATAAACAAATAAATGTGTGTATCTGTATCCTCAAAGAGAGGGACAGGATAAAGATAAAATGGGGGGGGGGTTGTTTGTTTGTTTTTAAATTTAATGATGTAGTAAACTTTGAGGAACCATCAAGATTAGACTGTTAGATATCTGAAGACTAAGAAATATATGTATATGTGTCTGTATATACATATGTGTGTATTTGTGTGTATTTGTGTGTGTGTGTGATTGGCTTCCACATATTTCTAACAGGAAATTCAGGCTTCGAGTATGTTTTAGTAATAAACTGGATTAAGGATTTTACATACAAAATTGCATTGATAATTGTGAAGATATTTTTAAATCATCTTTTTTCTGCTTTGAAGTGTGTCTGATATTAAGGAACAGAAGGGTCCATTTTCGAAGTCAGGCCTTCATAGGCTTTTTTTCCCCTAAAGATTCTTCCTTTAGTCTATTGATAGCATTGTCCATATATACAGGGTTGGGTAAAGACAGAAAGCAAATGCTATGTAAAAATCGAAATTCTCTGAAGTTTCAGGTGAATTATGGATTCCCAATTTGATCTCCTTCTTATACCTCTGTTGTTAATGGGATTAGATTCATAGGATCTGAACTGATTTTTGCCTCATGCCTCAATTACTGGAAGGCCAATTTGATGAGATTTTGTCATGTTTTACTAAATCATACTGAATCTTATCACTAGCAGGCTTTAGCAGCATTATCTAGAGAATATCCACAAGTGATGGGCAACCTGGAGATGGTTAAGGAAAAACCTCTACACGCTTGCCCTGCTCCACACACAGCCGTTTGAGAGGTGTACAGAGGGTGCTTGCCAGACTTCTAAAGATCACAGATACTGCCAGGGGACTCAACACCCTGAAAGCTAAAGCTATATTGAGTTTCTTTATTCATTCTATTGTAATTTTGCTTTTTTTTGTTAGTTCTGTGAGTGTTATGGACTATCACCTATTCTGTAAGCTGCTTATCATTTCTGCTTGGACTGATTGATACCAATGTGGGAACCAAGGCCCTTTCATTCAAGGTTGCTGGTCATGGTTTGCCCATGGTGTTTATGCAGAGGCCCATCGGGTGGATTCTAGCTGTCTTTTGTGTTTAACTCCTTGGTGTGACAAAATGGGGGAGAAAAAGTGGGCAACCTTACTTTCTAGACACCTGCAAATTGGTTTTAGCTCCTACCATTTGAACACCTGCAGACTGTCTTTGCTGAATAGCCAAAATCTGTGGGCTACAGATATATTTTAGGGTGTGGGTAGAAGACTTCCCAGATCTCCCCAGATGCCAACAAGGTTGCTGAGGGAATGACCTGGATCTATCACTCCCAGGTGAATCCTGCCATGGTTGACCTTAGCCCAATAGAGGAAGCAACCCCTGATCAGCCCCTAGACCCAGTTAAGCTGAGAAAGGACCCGTGTTTGTCTATCCCTGATAATTAGGACCCAATCCCTCACATGTTATCATGACCCTTGTCCTTGGGGAAGAGATGCCTCGGTGGGCCTGGGGTCGGATATCCAAGTCTCGTATGATTATTATTTTGCAATCAGTAAAGCTAACCCAGATACAAAACAAACCAAATTGTACTGCCATGGGTTTAGTCCTCCCACTCATTCACTTTTAATTGGGAAAAGATCACTAACTTTTCACAATTCTCACCCACTTTGAGCTTGAGACATGTCATCAAACCACCAGTTTTGATCTATGAGCAAAATAGGACACAAGGTCAGGAAATGGCATGGCAAATGGGATGTAATTATACCATATCCCTGAAATGAAACATGACTATTCAGAATGGAAAGGGCCTTCTGAGAACTTTTCTTGAGCCAGGAGGCCTGGCACACATGGCCAGATTTTTTAGGATAGCCCCACAGGGATTTTATTTCCTGTGTAACAAAAAAGGGTTTTACTGGTTCTCAAATTAGATGGGCAGGTGTGGTTTTGGGCGGGTGCTCCTGGCCTCTGGCCCACAACTACCCTGCCTCCTAACACATACCTGTGATGCAAGCACGCAGTAATCCAAGTTTCTGCTACACTTTCCCCTTTAGTGATACTGAATGCACCTTTTCCATCCTACTAGCCATGTACGGGGCTAGATGCAGTCCAGTGCTCCTGAATAAAATGAACAAATTTTTGCAAGTATTTGTTAATGAAACCACAGGTGCAGTGGAGGACTTTAATACTGAGGTCTATGTACTTGGAGCTGTGGCCTTACAAAACAGACTGGCTCCAGATTTCCTCCTGGCAGTGAAGGGAGGGGTGGGCACCCTCATAGATCAGGAATGCTATACCTGGGTTCCTGACAACTTCAGTGACATCCATACCCATATGGACTTGGTTCGGAATGCTTGGAACATGTTCTACGTGGAGGATGGGAAAGAGCCCTGGTCCCTATGGGGAAGTCCAGCCTTTTGGCTCCCAAATCTCTCATGGAGGAAATACGTTTGTGGGTTTTCTCTTGTATGTCCTCATAGGGATTATGTGTTGCTTGCATTTATAATGCCTCCTTTGGTGCAAAGAACTGATTCCCAACCAACCCCCAAACTGTAAGCAGCGGAGATTAGGAAGGTGTAGTTGAGCCAAGAGGAGAAATATAGGTCTAACTGTGGTGCTGTACCGTGAGTATGGTTAGCACCAAAGAGAAGATTATTGTGCAAAATCAGCCACTGGTGCAGTTAGTGTGAGTGACCTCATGTCCTTTAGACTAAGTACAAGGTAGCTAGCCTGCCTGAAATGGCGGAGCACATATGCACCAATCCCATCTCCCCATGATGCTGTAATAAGGAAGGCCAGGTGCTGAGGCAGCACTAATCCTACCTCCTCATTGAAATGTGTATTAATTAGGATTGTCTTCCCCTTGTGTGGAAGTTGTTTACTCTTGTCTATAAAAGCAGAGTGCAAGTTGAATTCCAGGCAGGCCTTACTCCAACTGCAAGTTGCCTTGGTGCGCTAATAAACTCTTTTGTCTTATTTCCTGAGTTTGCCTTATTTGACCAGAGCGAGGCCTGAACCAAGATTTCTTTTAACAACCCACCCTTACGCCATCCCTTTGTACTCAGTAGAAGAAAAAATCCCGGATTCTGGTGGCCTCAATCCATGACCTGTAGGAAGCAGTCCTGGTGAAGACACTGGGCTTGTTCTCAGCTCGGCATCCAATAGGTCCAAAGCTAGCTATGCCATGGACTTCCCACTCATTCTTTCCCATCTGGCAAAGCAAGGGGCCCCCTGAGTCTCCCTGGAAAATACCAATGAGAGAGTTCAATTAGGGGAGTACTGAATTATCCAAGTCCATCTCTTTTGGGTGCCAGGGATAAAGGCTATCTCTCGGGGTTACAGGACTTAGGGATATAGGATGGGGTAGCACAGTACAGCTGGCAAATCAGCCAGTATATTCACCACCCTTATACTCCACCTAACATGAAAACAGTTTACACTGAATCCCAAGGGAACAAAAGAGACTAGGTGATAGTAAGAAAATTTACAAGCTCATTTATGAAGATTAACCTTTTTTTTTCCTTTAAAGAACTGGCAAGGACCTTCCTCTCCCAATTCTTGGAGTAACTCTCTAATCCCGGGGTTCCACCAATATGTAGCAGAGAGAATCGAGACTTGGTCGGAGAACCCAAAGAACAAGGCCCAGGATATCATCCTGTTTACCATAACCCTAGGAAAAATAAGAACCTTAGGCCTTAGAACAAAGCCCAATAATGATATAAGTGAATCTGCATGTTCCCAAAAAAGTTGGATGTGGGTTGAATTTTGGTATACTGAATCCTGTTTTAAAAGAAGCAGAAGATTCGATGAAGTAAGTAGAACCAAGTGAACAGTTTATATAATGATCACAATAAGTTAAACAATACTGGGAGATGTCAGAACTCTGATTAATGCGGTGGTGACTCCTGACCTCAGAGGACTGCCAAGGGAAGAATGTCGCCTAGCTCTTGATACAGAGGTGCTGGACTATAGATGCAGAATGAAACACGTCTTTCAGGCATTTCCCTATGCTCAGGATCTGGAAGAAGCAAAATTGGGTACCTCTGAGATCTGAAAAGATGTCTCTGCTTCCCTGATACCTCCTTACCTGGCATGCTGCAGGAGTCCCCTGGAGGTCCCTGAAGCCCACACATAGCATAGTTGGGCTTACTTTGTCTCCCCAGACCTTTTCCTGTTGACAGGTAGTGAAATCCATGATAGGTAGCTGGGCTTGGTTCAGAACATTAGACAAAGTTGAGTTTTCCTCCCCACCTGACAGAAACAGACAGATATTCATGGCAGCCCCACTTCCCCACAGATTGCCTAGCTTTAGAAAGCCCTTTACAATAAGAGTCAACTCTAACAGCTTTCTATCACAGCCCAGTTATGGAGGGGTGTGGGCAGGGATGAGTTGAGGCAGGAAAAACCACTCCTATGCATTTAAATTACCATCTCTATGCTGATGATTCTCAACTCTACTTGTCCTGCCCCAATCTCTTTCCAGTGGATACCTTAAACTCAATATGTCCAAAACAGAACTCATCTTTCTCCCCAAACCTTCCTTAATACAGTAGAGGACAACACCATCCTCCCAGTCACCTAAGGCTCACAACCTAGGAGTCAGCCTGGATTCCTCACTAGCTCTCCCCCCTCCCATATCTGTTATCTCCCACATCCCATAAGCTGTTGCCAAGGCCTGCAGATGTCACCTCTGCAACAATCTCTTCTCTCTTCTGACACTACCACCACCCTGGGACAGGCCTTCATCACCTCAGATATGGAGGACTGTAATAACCTGCGGGTGGATCTACCTGTCTCTAATGTGTTCTCCATTTAGCCACCAAAGTGATTTTCCTAAAATTCAGGTCTGATCATGTCATTCCCTGATCCTCTCTGGCTCTCCCTCTGTTCAATAAACTCCAATAGCTTCCTATTGCCTCCAGGAACAAATACTAAATGTTCTGTTCAGCATTCAAAACCCTTTATAAACTAGCCCTCTCTTACCTTTCCAGTCTTTTAATACCTTACTTCCACACAGATATTCTTCAATACAGTGACACGGGCCTCCTGGCCATTCCAAGAACAAGACCCTCCATGCCCTGGTTCTGGGCATTTTCTATGGCTGTCCCCCTTGTCTGAAATGCTTTCCTTCCTCTATTCCCAACTCCTGACCTCCCTGGCTTCCTTTAAGTCCCAACTAAAATCCCACTTTCTATAGGAAGCCTTACCCAATCCCTCTTAATTGCAGTGCATTCCCTCTGTATGTTATTTCCTATTTATTCTGTACATAGCTTGCTTTGTATATATCTGTTTGCATGTTATCTCCCCCATTAGATTGTAAGTTCCTTGAGGACTTTTGCCTCTTTTTAGGACAGTGTCTGGAACATATGCATTTAGTAAAGGTTTTTGATTGATTGTAATAGGTCAGGAAAGATATGGCAGCCTCCTCTTCCCAGTGTAATTACCTTGAGTCCCTCCCCAGCCAGTGACCCAGCAGAGCTGGCCAGGCTTGAGGGCAGGGCCTCCAGAGGTAGGTAGACAGGCATAGTGCACATAGGGACTACTGGGGATGTCATGAACAGGCCGGACCAGGACAATATCGTTGTTCAGCTGGTCGAGGTGTGGGTAGTGGAAGTGCTCATGCCGGTATATTCGTTTCACACGGTGCACTCTCTGGGTTGCTTCTGTTTGGTTGAGCCAGTGTTTGCCCAACACAATGCGCCAGTTGGCAACATTATCCATCTTCCCCCTGGGATGGCGTTATGGGATCAGCCCTGGCCCAGCACAGTGATTGGGCGAGGACCCAGGGTCACACGAGGGAAGCTGCAGTGACAATGCTGTGGGGAGTGAGGTCAAGGACAAGGAAGGGCTGTCTCAGGGCAATATGGAAGAAATCCCCAATGAATCCACCCATTTCACCCTCCCTGATCCAAGGAGATTTGGATATTTTCTCATTTTGAGCCCAGAGATAATGAGGCCCTCTTTTTAGGTTTTATGGATGCAGTAAACAGCTGCCTGGTTGTAAGGGGTGCTGGTAAGGACCATCCTTGCTCCCAAATATCTCCCCAACTTAAGGATTCAGGAATCCAGAAAATACGCCATTGAAGACATTATTTCAGTTAAGCATTAAATGCAAAATACCCGAGAGGGTTGGTAACCTCACAGAGTTTACCACATTAAAGGGATTCTAGGGACACCTTCTCTCCATAATTCAGAGGTGCTATCACACATCAAAGTATAGCCTGCTATGAGGACACTACTAAGTCTAGAGATCCTATTTCTATAACTTCTTACTCTGTGACCATGGGTAAGTCATTTAGCCTTCTTCGGGACTCAGTTTCACTGCCTGTAAAATGAATGGATTTGATCAGATAATTACTAAAACCCCTCCTGGCTTTAAATCCTATGATGCCTAAGCTTCTAACTTGACTTTATGAACCCCAATCTAACCTACCCAGTTTAGGGAAGTAGGGACCTCCTCATCTCTACTTCTTCTCCCGCCCATCTTCCTGCCCACATGAAACACCCACTTACCCAGAAAAGCAGTGAGCTGCAGTAAGGACCCAGCTGGGATGGATCAGGGTCCCCCCACAGACGTGGACAAACCTCTGGCTCCCTTGGACCCAAGCCTGACAGCGAGGAGAGGAGAGAAGATGCCACCACACGATTGGGCCAGCATAGGACACTATTTTCCTAGGGTGCTGAAACATTTTGTGTGTCAAGAGTTCATGGTGGGCCTCCCTCTTCTTGGCCAATAATGTCTCACAGGAACATGAAGGTGTAAGTGATAGAGGGAAGATAGCTAACTAATGTCAGGGGAAGGGGGAGGAAGGGAGGAGAATGGAGGAAGGGGAAATTGAGAAATTAAAAGTACTATAGGAAAATTTGAAAAGTGTGGGTGCCTAAAAGCCAAGTTCCCGTAAACTAAATCAAATATTTGTGCATCAATTCTATTTTAAATGCACTATTTCACTTTCTATGACCTCTGGTAGTCAGGAATACCTCACATTACCTAAATATATGCTTTCGAAAAAATAAATCCTGATACTACTTATGAATTTCCATTTTTATTTTTAATTTTATTTGATACATAAAGAAACCCTGCAGCGAGCTCCTTTGCAATGAGAAGCACCCTTCCTTAACACCTATCTTTTAGGTAAATTTGGATTTTCCTCTTCTCAGTTTGCTAATAGTGTTCACCAGCATCCTCAGAAAAAGTGGATGAGTGTAGGCTTTCAACAGATAGCTAGTAGTTGGAGTTGAGTACTTCCTTTCTCCAAATACCAAAATGTTATGCTTCCACCATGAGTCTGACCTCACAGAGTTCAAGTTCATAGGGGTATCAGGGATAGAAAAGTCAAGAAATACCCATACAGCTGCTTGAGGTCAGGGAGGCAGCCTGGTCACACATTCAGGAGACCAACTCAAGACATTACTTACTAATGGGGGATAACCCTCCATCCTTCCCTCCTCGAGGGTAGTGGTAGCGCTGACCAGGGTTAAGAAGGTGGGGTTGGGGGACTAGAACAAAGCTCTTCTTGTGAGTGGCCCCTGAAGGAAAGCACCCAGGCCCTATCCCTATCCAAAGCGCTCATGCCCTCTACCCGTAACGCTGCCCTGGAGATAGTGTCAGAGGAACACTCGTACCTGCATGGACACCTGCCAAGGCCATGAGTGAGGTCTGGCCTCACTGCCCTGGATGATCCTCTCAGCAGAGCTGGAAGGGTAGAATGGGGCCACACCACAGTCCTGGGGCCAGTCTGGAAGGAGGAGGGACAGGACACTGCAATGGCCTCAGCATCCCAGGTGGGAGGAACCCCTTCCCCAAAGCTTATCTCATCGAGGCTCCAAGGAGTGAATGAACACTTGAGATTACTGCTTAAGGAATACGACCGAGTTCAGGATGAAATGGCAAATGACAAATTTTCTGCTCTGGGAACCCATACTCCCAGATTCCTAGCTCCCTCACCTCTCCCTCGCCCATGGACTCTGGCCAGAACCTGCAGTAACTGTTCCCGCCCCTCACCTCCCACCCCTATTTCACCCCTCCTCTCCCATTTCCTATAGGCTGTTATAGAAATTAAGGCCTTGCCTGGCTGTCAGGGACAGCTTCCAACTGCCCTTCACGGGAAGCTTGCTGTCCAGGACCTAGGACAATAGCTCTATTGTGCCAAACTTGACCAGGCCAGACCCCTAGGCTCCTCTCTTCAATCACCACCTGTGGGACTCTGAGGTTCAATACTAGCCCATAGACAGAGGGAGACCAAGGCCTTCACTCACCCAAGGTCTGGTGCCCAGTGAATGCCACCGCATCAGCTGGTGATAGCACGGCAAGAAGGAGCAGCAGAGCCAGGAAATTCATGACCAGGCACAGCCTTGTTCTAGGGGAAAGTGTGGGCTGGAGAATTTATATCCTGCCTCCCTGGGGTTGAGGCCTCTGGTTCTGATGAAATGGCTGGAACAATGCCTGATGGATGCCAACTCGGGCCTGGATGCTTCTGCCTGGGGCCAGCAGTTCTGCCCCAGCAACAAGGCACACACACACAAGCAGGCAGGCTTGGCCATCAGCAGTTTTGCCCAGAGAAAGGACCGACAGAATAGAAAGTAACAGCCCAGCCTCCCCCTACTCTACCCATAGATCCCTAGCCTCATTCTTAAGGGAGCCATTGGAAATCAGCTTCTGCTTCCTTCCAGGGTGCAAAACTCCACAACAAAACAATGTGGGATGCAGGAATCACTGAATCCTGAGTAGTCTAACACCTTAGGCAAAGCTGCCTCTATTAGGAGGCAACTGGTGAATAGAGCATTGGGCCTGGAGTCAGTTAGACTAGAGTTCAAATCCAACCTCAAACACTTCCCTTCTATTTGTCTGTTTTCCCATCTGTAAAATGGGGATAACAATCATACCTATCTACCTCTCAGGATTGTTCTGAGGATCAAATGAAATCACTGTAAAGCATTTAGCACAGTCCCTGGCACATGGCAGACCCTATATAAAAATGCTTATTTCCTTCCCTTCCCCCCTTCTACTCCTAGTCTCACTGAACAGACTTCTTCAAGTTGGATACTTTCCTTCTGAGGAATGATTCCCTCCACATTTCTTTATGGAGCAGTTAATGGGTAGAATGCCTGGCCTAGAGTTAGGAAGACCTGATTCATGGCCTCAGACACTTCCCAGCTGTGGGCAAATCACGTCACCTTTGTTTGCCTCAGTTTCCTCATCCGTAAAATGGGGATAATAATAGCACCTACCTCCCGGGATAGTCATGAGGATAAAATGAGATAATATTTGTAAAGCATTTAGCACCATGCTTGGCACACAGTATGCCCAGCAGAAATGGTAACTATTATTATGGCTAACACAGATGCTGCTTACTATAACTTATCTTGTCTCTCCATGCGCTGCTTGTCTTATCCAGCCCTACTGGGGCTCAGGGACTTATTACAATCTACCATCATGTCTTATATTTACATAGGACTCTATCATCACCACGTTTTTACTGAGTATTTATTGTACTGAACACGTATAAAAATCTATATTGCTGTCTTTTGTTTTTATATCACTTCTATTTCCATAATGTATGTACCTCCTTCCCTCTCCCAGAAAGCCAATCCTTATATGGGTTATTTTTAAAGCACTTTCACATAAATTAAGTAATTTACTTCACAGCAGGTACTACCACTTAAATCAGAGGTGTCCAACATGTTCCCTCCCCTGTCCCCTACCCCAGCTACCTGTGGCCCACAAACACTCTAGAGTGCCACCTGAACTCTATTAAAATGTAATTGGGAAATATTTAGCAAAATGAAGCAAAATACAATATAACATAACGTTAATCTGTGATTCTCTAAGTCAACGTGTGGTCCAGCAAAGGTCCTTTCTATTTGACTTTGACACCATTGATGTAAATGGTTAGTAGACTGGGGCTTGGAGAAGCCATTCCACAGGGTAATAGAAAAATTGAACTGAGAGTCAGAAGACCTGGGTTCTCATCTCAGCTCTGCAACGAACTTGCCCAATAACCTCAGCTTACTTCTTTCCTCCAGGTCTCCATTTCTTCTAAAGGGTTTGGATTAGACCATGAGATTTAGGGTTGGAAACCTAAACGTAACGAGGAAGCAGACTGAAGATTCAAATACAGGCCATCTGGAAAGCGCTTTGTCTGTAGAGTTAAAAGATGAAGTGGACCAGAAGGCTTCCAAGGTCTCTTCTGGCTCTAAATCTATAATTCTTTGATTACAAGTTCAGTTTTCTGGAAGACAGTATGGAAAGTGGATCTGGAATAAGTAAATCTGGGTTCAAATTTCACTCGTGTGATCTTGGGCCAGCCACTAAAGCTCTCCCTGAGTCTTAGTATCTCATATCCAAAATGGGGATAATAATAGTATTCTCACATGGTTGTTGTGAAGTAAATTCTCCATAAATTTCAAAATGCTACATATTCTACATAAATTTTAAAATGCTATATATTCTATATTCTGTAATAATAGAAAGAGGTCACTATGGTCTTCTTTTTCAACTTGATGATTGTAAGACTTGCCCAAGGTCACCCAGCTATTCAGCAATACATGTCAAAGTAAAACCCATGTCACCAGATTCTGAGCCCTGTGGTTTGGTTTGGTTTGGTTTTTCCACTAGCTCATAAGACCTGCTTGAATCAAACCAAGCATCACACCTATCTCAGTGCAAACCTGTTGAGGGAGGGAGGGAGGCAGAGTGTGTGTGTGTGTGTGAAAGAGGTTTCCTCATTTCATGGATAAACTGAGGCACACAGAATTTATTTGATTCAGCTACTCCCACCCTAACATGGGAAACTGTGGAAGCTGGATCTTGACAGTTACCTCAGCTTAGTGATAGGAGATTGGAAAGACCTTATTCTGGGACCACATATGTACCTGGGACCACCCTGTCCCATCACCACCTGGTAAGTAGCCACCTAATGCACTGTGCAGTAGATGGCTACTTACCAGGCAGGATTTAGAGTTCAGAAAAGCCAGGCCTTAATCAATATGTCTCCTCCACTGATGACTGAAATTCTATCATTTATTAAATCATTCATTTCAAGTAAGCCTGGAGAGGACAAAGAATACTTCCAAAGGATTAAAGGGAGAGGCAGTAGAAAAAAAGGATATGGAAAGTGAGCAGCCCGCTAAAAAGGTGATGTTTGTTAGAGAACGAGATTTGGCATTCTGCACCTCAGTATAGAAATAGGAATAATGAATTCCTGGCAAGAGACAGATATGCCTCTGCTGTATTCTCTGCTTCTGAGAGCCAGGATGAAGTACTTTCCTAGAGGCTTGCAAACAAGAGGGATTGCTGTTTAAAGCGAGATAAGAGAGAAAAATATCCAAATACAACTGTGAAGCCAGGTACCATCAAAAAGCAGATCAGCATAGGAAAAACAGGGCAGCCTAAGTGGCACAGTCAATAGAGTGCTGGACCTGGAGTCAGGAAGACTCATCTTCCTGAGTTTAAATCTGGCCTCAGACACTTAACAGCTGTATGACCCTGGGCAAGTCACCTCATTCTGTTTGCCTTAGTTTCCTCATCTGTCAAACGATCTGGGGAAGGAACTGGCAAGCCACTCCAGTATCTCTGCCAAGAAGACCCCAAATGGGCTTATTGCAGAGCTGGACACACCTGAAAATGACTTAACAATTCTGAACAATAAGGAGGGAATTGGTTGGTGAAGTCTGACATACACCTAGACTTTAGGAAATCAAACTTCACAGGTCTCGATAGGTTCCTATGGCCAGAGACTCTATATGGAAAGAAAGGCTCTCAAGAACAAAACTCTGCTGATGCAAACAAGTCATTCTGATAAGGAGAAAGGCCAGGTAAAGTGCAGGGTGAATGCACATCGAACCAACCCACACGCTCAAAATTTTCAAAGATATATACAAAAGTTAGAAGGGAAGGTGAAAGGGAACAGGTATTTATATAGCACCTACTGTGTACCAGAGACCATGCCAAGTGTTTTCTTTACAAATATTATCTCATTTGACCCTCACAACAACCCTGCAAGATAGGTGCTGTTATTATCCCCATTTTACAGTTGAGGAAACTGAGACAAGCAGAGGTTAAGGGACTTGTCCAGGTATGGAAGCTAGCAAGTGTCTGAGGATAGGTTTGAACTCGGGTCTTTCTGATTCTAGGCCCTGTGCTCTATCCACTGGTGCCACCCAGCTGCCTTAGGTAGGTGACTAAATACAAAAAGTGGTCTCTTTTAACAGTATGGCTAGTACAAAGCCCAGAATAAGCTAATTTCTGGAAAATGCCAATAACAAGAAGATCTTTTTAAATTATCTTAGGGGGAGAAATCAGAATTATGAATCTATTTTGCTTCTGTCTTCTCTTTCAACAATAATCATCTTTTTCTGGCTTGAAGGTTACAGAAATAGTCCTCAGGGAATGCTAAGGTAAGGGAGGCCATCATAAGACCTTGCTGACCTCAATGAGTTCTAGTTACCAGACCCAGAAAAACTTCTATATGTGGTTGTTAAACCACTCTTTGTTAGTAAGATGTAAGGAATCTTAGAGAGTGGAACAAAGGCCACAGGGCTGGAGATGAGAAAATATTGTCCCATTTTCCAAAAAAATGAGAATAAAATTGATAATCTACAGACAAGCTTGACAGACTAGGGGACTTAACATCAAGTCCTGACAACATTTAAGGATGGCTTGTTAAAGGGATGATGGAGGAAGAGCACACCAGAGAAGGATCTTAAACCCCCGAACTGGAAGGAGAGACCCCTCATGCATTGGGGATTGGGATATGTGATATGAGCAGCTGTCGGGTGTCAGCTTTTTACCAAGGATCTCAAGAAACCACATACCCATCCTTGCTCTGTCACTCTAGATGGGAAAGGAGGAGAAAGGATGAATGGGGCAAATACTTTCAACGAGGAACAGTCTATATGTTTCAATGGAAAGAACCTTTGATTTGGAACCAAAATTTGAAATCTCAGCTGTGCTAAGAAGCTGTTCTGTATTTTGCTATAGTCAAAAGTGCTTTGCTGAATCTGATACCCACTCAGAAGCTATGAAGACACTTGCTGGGTTGTAAGACCATGGAGCTAGTTTCAGGGGTGGGGCCGCCTTCTCTTTCCAAAGTAGAAAGAGGGTTGTTAGAATAAAGGCCCCTCAAACGTTTTACATGATTGTACATGTATAACTTATACTGGATTACTTACCATCTCAGGAAAAAAGAGGGGAAGGAGAGAGGGATAGAATTTGGAACTCAAAACTTCAAAAAATGTTTTAACATGCAATTAGGGGGAAATATTATTTAAAAAAAAAGAATAAAGGTCCTTCTAAGACCCATTGGGTCATATCTGCATCTTGAGAGGGCTGGAGGTATTGTTCAGACATAAAGCCCTCTTGAGCAGGCCTTTCCCATGAGGAGCCCCTGAAAAGCCTACCATGTTTCCAGGTAAGCTGTTTATTTTTCTTTTCCATTCATAAAGGATGATGGCAGTTTCTGAGGTTTCAGTTATAGGATCCCAGAATTTACTCTTAGGCCATTGCTAAAGAAATCATCTGATACCTGTGAAATTACTGCGAATGAGATAACAGATGTAAGGTCCTTTGCAAACCTTACAGCTCTTATAAATGCTAACTATTACAATTACTGTTACCTGAGTCCTAGGACTTGTGGTCTGTACAGATGTGAAAAACAAGTAATCCATGTTTTCTGAAGAGGAAGAAAGATAAATATCACAGGAAGATCAAGATGAATGCAAAGAGACAAAGGGAAACAATGAACAGATGGAGCCAGTGGGACAGGTCTAGAGAGAGACAGAGAGAGGGCCAGAGTCACAGAGAGCTTTCTCATCTAAGACTCGGCCTTTTAGGCAAAGGTTCT